GTGAGGCACACCTCTCCAAGGGTGAGGTGGGGGTGGAGGTTTCCATTAGCTTTCCTCTTGTTATCATTCCTCTGTATCAGCATCCACTGACCTCAGCAACCCCTCCCTCTTTCTCATCCTTTTATCTCTCCCATCCTTTTATCTTCTGTCTCTAACTCCAGCCCCTCTCATCTTTCTTTCTAGAAATTCCTGCTAGCTTATTTTTTTTCCCCCTCGGATCTTCAGCCTTTTCTGCTTGCTTAATCCCCTTGAAATCATTTGGCCCAAATTCCTATCCCCTCAACTCCATCTGTTTAGCATGCCATACCTGCTGCTTAGGGTTCTCCGGGGCATGAGAAAACCTGGCTTATTCCCTCCTGTCCTAGTTGTCGAAATAGCCAGTTCCCCAGCGTGTATCTCTGTATATTCGTTCACAGGGGTTTAAAGGACAGTACCTTTCAGGGTTGGTCCAAGCTAAAATTTAGGCTGCAGACACCAGGCACCAAATGTTTCTTTCAGCTGCCTGGTTTATCCTCTGCGGCCTCCAAATGGTTTCTATCAGTATTCTGATGGAGAGCTCGCTGATGGAATTAGTGGGAAAACAGACTGTCAATTTATTTATACCCAGCCTTAGGGCATAACCATTGTGCATGTGTAAAGCTATTAGGATGCAGAGAATACTCTGCATGTGTGTGTGTGTATATTGACTGGCAGGGAGTTTACAAGGAAAAGCCATTGCCCCAGGGATTGAACGGTGACGAAAAGTGGGAGAGGTGACCATGCCGAGTGCCAAAGATCCCCTTTCTCCGAATGCAAGAAACAACTGATGGCTCTGAAATCTTTTGTCTACTTGTGTTTATAAATATCTTTCAACTCCAGTTTTGCTGCAGCTCTAGTTACCCTTGTGGAGAGAGAAATTTCTAATTTAACTTTTGGAGTCCTTCCACCTTCTTCAACAATATCTGTGTTATGAAACTATTGCTGCCTTTGGCTGTGGGATTGTTTAAAGCATATGAGTAATGAATAATAAAGTTTTTCCATCACATTGTCTTTTAGCCTGTGAAGTGTTTTCAGGGGAAGTTGAGAGACACTGGAAACATTGAGTTGTGGATATTTATTTGATGCTACAGTGCTGAGTATGAATGGACTGTTTTTCCAGTATGATTTCATCAGCTTTGGGTGGGAAAATTTGTATTCTCGATATCCTGATCAAATGATATGTGAATAAATAGCTGCCTTTTTTTTTTTTCCTCCCTCCTCCCCAGTTTCCTATTACTGTGTCAGTGTCAATTAGGAGATGCAGGTGAGCCCCCTGCTGCCCCAGCCACTATACTAAGACACTTTTAGCAGAAAAGGCAAGATATATGTTGGTTGAAGTGGACCAAGAGCTAGTAGAGTAAGTGTCCATTTCATTCATTTGATTAGCCATGTTGCTCATCTCAGGGATCTGTTTCTTCCCATAAAACATAAATATATATGTGTGTCTATGTCCAAATCTTGGACTGTTGATAGGCATCATCTCCTGCCATGCTGTCTGCTGTGGTATGAAAAAGTGAAAAAGGATTAGCAAAAACTGTTTAGCTCTATTATTCTTTATAATAGCCAGAAAACAATTAACTGGTTATTCCTTAATGTTATGCCTGCAAAAGACTGCATGAGAGGGCCCACGGGACCACTGGGCACATTTGTATTGCGCAGTGGAGCGTGATGTACCAAGCTGATGCTGATCCAGACTGGTTCTTTCATGTAATAGGGAGCAGAAATTGTGCAGAGATATGAGCTGATCATCAAAGTAGGATAGCTTTGTTAGTGTGTCTCTGAGCCTAAACTAATTGTGACTGATGAGTTTGTCTGCAGCTTTCTGGTGCAGCATTTTCTGCTTCAGAATTTGCTTGGATTTTGCTGGCTTGGAAGACTTCGCAGCATGCTCCACAGCTCATATAGATGTGTCCAAAGGAGGACAGAGCCATAAAGCATTGTGCTAGGGAGAAAGATGGGGTCACCGAGAATGCAGACTGGCAGGACACTGCAGAGGACATGCCATCAGGCACAGCAGCTTCCTCCTGTATGACAGTGGCAAATAGATCATATCGTGCGTGTAAAAAAAGTAGCTTCACTGCCATGGAGGTGTGCTTCCTTCCAGCTTCGTAACCAAACCAAAGTGCACCACCTCTACTGTTATTTTCTTCTCTCTTAATCTCTTGTAGAATATTTTCACAACTCTGAGTCGAGAGCACAAGCTCAACAGTTTTAAAGCTCTGTGTTGCAGAGCTACAAGGGAAATGCCTGGAGACCAAGCTTCCCTTTTGAGCAATGCAAGTGGGATTGAATCCTAACCAGCACACGTGCTCCTGGCATCGCTGGCAGATGCTGTCAATAACATCGGTTTGATATGTCAGCTCTGTCAACATCTTCGATTTAACGGTAGTCAAGCTATGCACCTCCAGCTCCGCCCTCTGCTGGGAGCTGAGGAGGGAGGAATTATCTAAGTTAGCTGCATTAAAAGATAAAAGTCTGCCTGTGTTGGAAGTGAATAAGGTGTGTTAACTGGTAATCTTCAAACTGAGGTCTCCAGCTGTTACTCCTGAGCTGTTTGCTATCAAAGCAATATGGATCCATCGCACAGCAGCTAACTCCAGTGCATGAGCAGTTACTGTCTGAGGTTTCTCAGGTATATTATAGTTTTATTATTATTATTTCTCTGCTCATAGTTTCTTAAGGCCTCTTCATATCCTGAATAAAGCCCTAGGGAATCATAAAGCCACAGGCTGAGTTTTAGCACAGACACAATTCGCATCACCTGAATTGATAGGTATTTAGTGTGTTGCCTTGATCTTGGAAGCAGGACCCTGAGATGCACCCCAGGGAAAGCTGCAAGATGTTCTTTGTATTTTTTGCCCCTGAGAGAATAACTCTTTTGCTGTGGAAATGACATTTTTTGCTCAGAAATGTCACCACTTCTGCCTGCCAATTGTAACTCTGTCACACTAAAATATCTTATCTTTTAAAGTAAAATAATAAAACATTTAGGAATCTATGCAGAGCTGCTAAGCACTCTCATTGTTTTGCATTAATGACACTTCCTTCCCATAAGCCTCTCTCTCTGTTTTCTTACCATTATTAATAATTGCTGTAGTTCATTGTATCTGAATCTTGCTTGGCAAAGCTTGCAGAAAAGATGATTAGGGTAAGAGAAGAAATGGTGTCAGAGATTTGCTTACTGTTATTAAAAACATTTAGGAGACTGTCCCAAGAGCATAAGTCCGTTTGCCAGAGACCTCCAGCCCTGCCTGGCACTGAGGCTATGTTTTCCCAATTGTTTGCATGCTCTTCTAGGCAGGTCTTGTGCTTATCTAGCTGTCCAACCACTCAGTGTAAGTTCAAGCTCCGCATTATTTTGTTCATGTCCATCATTATAATAACATATTCACACTTGGCTTGCAGGGTCTCAGAAAGGAAGCAGAATTTCAGTGTAGTTATTATAGGAAAATGTATCTGTTATCAGATAGGGCTTCTGTCATGCTGGATATTTGCACATGCCAGACCTACCAGAGTTGAAGTGGTGGTTTTCACCCTGTCCAAGTAGTTTGTGGTCTGTAACAAAAATGTACAAAAAAGCTTACAAGAGAATTGTAGGCAGTAATGTGAGAAATCTCTTCTTTCTTCCATCCACCTGCAGGTTGTTGGCTCAGAAACGATCTCACAGCTCTGCAGAGCAGCTGAGATCCCGGAGAACTTGACAAAGGCAGTGATGTTACACAGCAAAAACAAACAGGAGGACAGAGCTCAGCCCTGTAATAGATTACCGGAAAATATATGGGCTCTGTTACCCGTAAGATGGCCACTAACAAATATCTAGTAGAGAGTCAGGTACAGGCCATGCTGGTGTGGAGCACACCCTGTGCCTGTGGCTAGGGCCAGGGCTGCGAGCATGGACTTGTGACAGTTGCTAAGGAAACAATCTTGGAAATGGGATTGGAGCTCTCGTCGGAAAATGGGTGGCTGCAGAGATGGCTTGTGCTGCAAAAGCGCACGGGGCTGATAGAAGCAGCAATTGTTCAGCAATTGATTCAACCCCTGATGTGATAGCATTAAGGAGCAACATGTGATGTGGTCACTAAATGCCACAGATGAGGGATTTTGCAGTTTCTTAGGTTTTTTTTCAGTGTATCTGTGTTTTTTTTGGTCTCTCGCCATCTTGCTGCCTGCATGAAACTACCAGTAATTACATTGAATTACTCCTATGCAGGCCTTTGATGTCTTACTTTTTTGTTTGTTTGTTATATCTTGAGTTAGTTAGTGAAAAAACACACACAGACTTGGTAATCAGGGGTCTTCCAAGTGAGGATCCACAGCTTGGAGGAGTCCCCTTGGAAAGATGATGTTAGTAATCCAAACCCTGCTTGTGCATCTTTGTCTCAGCCTGTCTCCGATAGAGAGACATAAGCTTTTAATAGACTGAGAAATTCCTTGGAGGTGTTTGTTAGTTTGCAATTACTTTGCAATTGATTTTCTTAAAAAACAATTCATAACTTGTTAAAGATCTTCCCTCCCTCCTTCTCTCCCAGTTTCCTTTTCCATCTCTGTCACTGCCCAGTATTTACAGTCATAAAGCCTATTTGTTTCCCATTGCTTAGGGAGATGGTTTTTTCTACAGAGAGAAAAAAATGAGACCTAATCATTTGTAAAACTGGATTTACAGTCAGATCCTCCTGGGGACTGAGTATAATTCTTACAGTGATGACTTCTGCAAATGTAGTTTAGGTGGTTAACCTATTTGCCTCTGTTTCCCTTTTTGTAAAATAAGGTCTATTTTAGAATAGCTCCTGTAGACCAAATGCTGTCAGTGAATTTGTGAATGGCTTAGGGGAAATATAGCAAAATATAGCAAAAGTGAATGAATGCTTCATTCAGAATGGAAGGAAGAACACTAAGAGCTGTCCTCCAAAACAAACCTGACTGTCTCCCAACACCTGCAACTTGCACACTCAGCAATGAACCTTCCTGCTTTTCTCCACCAGGGCCTGCAGCTGGGAACTCAAGAGTTGGAGGAGATGGGAAGCAAGTTTTGCCTTGCTCTGCTCATTCTGCATCTCAAATCCTTGCCCTGCAGCAAGAAGGTGATGGACCAGGCAGCGCTCCTGCTGGATCTGGATGAGGAGATAACAGACCGAGCACAAAGGTCAGTGATGGTATTATTCAGAGGGCTCTCTTGTGGGAGATCTTCCATGGAGACAATCTCTTACAGGGAAGACATTCTCTAAGGGCTATAGGCAGGGAACAAATATTGCAGATTAGTAATGGAATTTGATGACATGATTTAGAAATTGTAGGCCTGATTCAGCAAGGATTCTCACAGATATTCCTCTTCACACTGTACTGAGTCCTACATACATTTAGAACACAGGTTGGTGACTTCTTGATGCATGTGATGAAGTTAGTATCCTACTGATCATTGAGGAGGTGTTTTTCTAAATTGCAAAATTCATTTCTTAGCTTCCTTTAGGGATTTATGCAACTCAGTTTGCCATAGTATAAATATATGGGGACTTTGGCCTAGATAAATGTCAGAATATGGGACTCTTCAGCTTGAATTGGTGATGAAGTGGAAATGTATATACCCTTTCTAGAGCATTCTCGTTAGTGCTATGTGCAAGCACATATGCTTGTAATAATGTTTTTCCAAGACAAATGGAGAAAGAAAACTTAGTGATGTGATATGATTTGAAGCTTCCCAGTGGGTTTGTCATCAAAGAGTGCTTCAAGCTTCATCAGTGAAAAGCAAGTTTTTCAGTTGCAGAAATGCCCCTATAATTTATAGCAAGCTTCCAGTCTTCCCCCTGCAGGAATACTTAACTGACATTACCACCACCTGTTCCTCATGCCGGAAACCATTCTTACAAGCTTGTTCACGGTTTTTAATGTTTATGAGGGACAATGAAAAAAGAGGCCTGAAAAATAGAGACATTCCTTTGGTATAGCTGTGCTCACTTGAACGTATGAACACATAAATGAAGCAATTAGCATGTATCCTAAACAATTTCAGGGCTGTGGACATCCATCCAACAAATCGTTGGTGTGTCAATAGAGAGAACTACTGGCCAGGTGGTTGGATTTGAGATATAAATCAAAGTCTTTTGAACTAGAGCTGGAAGAGCCTTTGCATAAAATAATGTCTCTTCTGGGAAGGAAAATATTGAACCTTGATTAGCCCTAGACAGTGATAAAAAGCCACCCAGTCACACTAGCTCAGTGAGGCCTTTCCCTGATCTGTGTAGTTTTCTGTTACTGTTTGATTTGTTTGGTTTCATACTATTAGGCATTCCTTTAATTTTTTCCCAGTATCGTGGGGTAATGGACCTGTACCAAAATAGTAGTAAGAAACTCTCTAGTTACCAGTACTTTTAAAATCAACAAACCTCCAAATCCCTATAAAGCTCCCGTAGTGTTCCAAATGTGGCCATGGTGACTGAAAGCAAAACCTTCTGTCCCTTCAACTTTCCCCAGCATTAGTGTCATCCAGGGATGTAATGCCACTGTTGAAAGGCAATGTGATAGTTACTTGTTCATTTTCACTCTACTGGGTAAAATTGCAGATCTATGGAGTTTTGGTGGGTTAAGTGCATTTAGTTACCATTTGCAGAACAGGTAAACAGTTGCATTGTTTAATCCTATCTAGAGATATGCCATATTGCAGGAGCTTGTTGTGTGAGGCTGGGGAAAGAGAGACACAGGGACCAAGGGGCTTGCTAGCATATTCTGTTTTTTGATAAATAATTCATTGAAAATGATTGTGTAGTCTATTGATTCTGATTCAGAAAATTAATATTTTGCCTCTGGGTTTCTATGAGACTCACCAAGAGAATTGCATAATTTGATTTTAGAGGGAATAGGAGGCCTACTGGAACCAATGGAAGAATGCAGAATACAGAGAGTTCGTTGGTACGGGCAGGAGGGCAGCTATGTCCAGGCCTCTCTCTCAACTTAGACTTTGAAATAAAATAAGACACAGACTTTGAAGTAAAAAATGGTTCTCCATAAAAACATTTATCTGGAGGGAGCTGTGGGGTTCCACACAGTCTAATCGTACTCTGTAAAGACAAAGTCCAATCTTGCTCTTGTAGGTAGCACAACGAAGTCACCAGAGCCTTGCAGCTTAAAGTGGAATATCATTATGTCAGTGGAAATTATACTCTGCTTTTTTCTAGGCTGGTGCCATCTTTGTGGGTTTAAGGAGAATGAAGTGTCTGTAGTTTAAACCCAGCTCTGTTGTCTTCTATGGTTATCACAAAAATGCACGGCATCTTTGAATCTTTTCTATATTTTCTTCTTATGAAAGTGTGAGTAAATGTGGATAGAAATACCCAATTTATTTTGTACCTTTGCCAAAGCAGAGTTAGACCTGGGGCCTGCACGTGCAACACAGGATCAATCTAGGTGGGTACCTTGTGGGATTTCTTTCTTGTGTGCTTTATATTGTGAACAGAGGTGTTTTTTAACACCCTGAGGGTAAACCCTTTTCCAACAGTCTGTACAACCCTGATCCCAGGAAATATTATTCATAGATGTTGAAGTGGGAAGCATTAGCTCTGATTGTAGCTAATGCTTTTCTGGCAAAATAAAGTGTGTCACAAAGACTGTCCTACTAGCAGTGTCAAAAGAAAATAATTGCTATTGCTCAACCTTGATGAAAATACAATCTTTATTCATTGGTAGGGTTTTGTTTTGTGGAAATAGGATGAAATTGCACTGATCGCTACAGATGTGAGCAGTGTGATGTATTGCACAGTGCTTATGTTAAATATGTCTATCTCGAGCTAATGTGTTTCCTAAATATGTATTTCTCAGTGCCCATCTCTGTAGTACTCTGGGTGACAGGTCAAGCAATGGAATGAAAAGTTAATCCAGCACTGAATAGAGCTGGCTCCCAGATGAAATGTCTCATTGCAAAGGTACATAGATCACAACCTATGGAGCCAGAGGTCCCTTCTGTTGTGAAATCCCCACAGTTCATGCCCTGCATTTGTCTCTCTTTTGCCCTGGTGTCTGGTGTGCGTGTCATTGACTTGGCATTTCAGCATCTCCTTCCAACAGCAAACATTTTCACCTGTCAAGGTTTATAACTGCATGTGTCTTTTACTTTTCCTCTTCAGGCTCTCTCTGCTCTGAGTATTTCGTAGCCTTACTCTTTCATTACTGCTGTGAGGGAGGTGAAGATGCAGGCTGGACCCTCCCTGCTTCCCTGGAATAAACTGTCCGCTGTGACCTTTATACAGTTCTTTCAGAATCAGTGGTCAATGAATCAGAGCAAGGTAATAGCTGTCAGGAAAATAACTGGTCTGAAGTGACTGGTCCTCCTCTGTGAATGGGATATTTCTCACATCAGATCTGGTCCATAGTGTTCAGACACAGTCTCCAATGAGCCAAAAAAAGGTGTACAAAACCTTTAGCAGACCTAAGTAAATACAGTTTAATACGTGGGCAAGAATTTCTTCCTGACCCATGCATTCTTCAGTCTAGTATGAAGACTAAATGGAAGTCATTCACAAGCGTGAGTAGGGCAAATGGAATAAGTTCCCAGCAGAGGCAGAGTAGTAAAGTAGCTGACTCTGAGGATAAGTAGAGGGGGCTGAACTTCCATCTCTGGGCCTACACCACTAGTAGAACAGTAGAGTATTTCCCCTAAGACCCAGAAATCCTTAGACATCATGAAGTTGGCCCAACAGCTATTTGTCACTGGTCTGCAGCAGTTCTGTATGGCAAATCTCATAAACATGCAAAAAGTTGGAGGAAGTATAAGATACAGTACATGCATTATATAAATTACAACCGTAAGGTGTGACGGCTGCAGGAAGAGCTCCTTTCTCCCTGTGTGTCATCAAAGCTCAAGGGCTAGATACAAACTAGGCTCGTTCAAGGACTATTCCAAGTTCCACCTAGTTACGAGGTGACATATATGTCCTTCTTAAGCCTGCCTTAGAGATGAACAGGTAACTCCTGAAATTATTGCCACTGGTACTGCAGTGATATAGGATTTCTGGGCCACCTGGAAGTGCTCATCTGCGTCATACCTGAAGTGCTTTAACTGTGAAACCTCTGCAGTAAATTCCAGGCCTGTTATTCAGATATTATCTCTCCACAGAAAGTTTCTACGTGCTTCCTACCGAATGCTGTACCTGATTAAATCAAGGGAAAATCCAGTTAAGGGACTTCTGAATTGATCTAATGTAAATGCTTTATAAATGTTGTGCTTACAGGGTCCTGGAACCAATGCTCAAAAGGTTATTGGTATCTAATATGTTGCTTCTCATCATTTATTGAATGACGACAAAACCAAGTGGCTATCTAAGTGTTTCCAAAAACATCCAGATGACGTCCTGAAAACTTCAAATGAATAAATGCCCTTGGGACTGGAACAAACTTTTGATAATCCTAGCAAAATTCTAACTGCCCCTCTAGTGGTTAAATTGTTTAAGGTATTAGCCAGCTTTTAATTAGCATCCTGTGCTCCTGGGACACTTGTTCAAGCATTATCACCCTCATGTTTCACAAAACCTTAAGAACTTAGTAGTTTGTTTATTTTTTTTTCTCTTCACAAGTGCTATATAGGAGTTTTTCTGCATCAAATAGCCCTTTTTCCACCTCCGTGCAATAGGGTCAGTCTTAAGGACCACTCTGCCAAGGTCAAAGGCCAAATGTGTGGAGAGTTTTCTGGTCTTTAACAGCCTTCTTCAGAAAACACGGTAATGTATCAGATGCTCATACAGACATTTTATTCTGCCCTCTCCCAAAGGCACAAGCTGGCCTCACAAGCATTTGCCATGCCTCAGGAGGAACCACTAATTTTGCATTTCCAGCCTGCCACCACGCCTTGTAGTCAATTCAGGCGTTCAGAAGCTCTCTGCTGGGAAAGTGAAACGCCAGCATGTACTTCAGACATCATGTGTTTTGATAATAGGTTTCATGCCTCATTTGCTGTAAAAGCGATTAGGTTTTAAGTCAATGCTGTCCAGGTAACTTCACATTTGTCATGGCCAGAAAGAAGATGGGAAGTGACTGTTTGTTCACTTAAAACAGGTTTAAGAAAGCGAGAGCATCTTCTCATTAAAGGTGCCTTCCCCTTCTTCCTCATGTTTTGAATGGATGGTATATTCCTTCATTCTCTTCTCCTCTGCCCACCAG